AAGAAGCTTTATCATTTTTACATGATAAAGCTTCTTACGGACCTTGTTGTTTAACCGGTTTTTTCTAGTTACTTGTATATAAGAGTGAATCGGTTCTCTGTTCATTTGTGACGCTGAAGAAGAGTGATGGATGTCACTCGAAACGTCCGGAAATAAATCCGTTAACTGACCCAGTAGTAGAGTTTGAATTTTCTTACGAGTTTTACAAACATTGAAATTTATAGTGAAAACATGGAGATAGAGTTGTGTTGGAGACATTCCCCAGCCTACAGGAGAGAATAGCTCATCATGTTCAAGCGTGATCTGGACACACTGTTTTACACATTTTTCCTCGGTCAGTTTTCCTTCTCCGCTTAGTTACGGCGCCGTCACATTCGCCTTAGGCCATTGTAAGATCTTAATGTTGTAGGACTTTCAAACAGGCTGTGACAGAACCAACCACCGACGAGGAGCTAACACATCCTTTTCGGTACTAACTGCATTTTTATACGACACCTCCATGACAAAGCCAAGAATGCCTTCGTTTTCGCTCGTACGATGTACGTGACCGACCCTTACTGGTCCTCTCTCTTCACAATTTGTTTTACAAGCAAAGGAAAAGCCTGGGTCTCTTGTCATCGCGTATTTCTCCAGTATCTACTCAACCGTCGACGGTTGTCAACAGACGCGTTTGATCAAACTGTTTTTGAGTGTTTTTCTATCAACGTTTGTTAATCTTGACCAGGGCCTGTGGCGTTTGACGTATATTGTGTGGATGTACCAGAAATGCAACGACCAACAGTATGAAAATATACAATACTTAATTCACGCCATGTTATGAAATGGTGTCAGTGTCATATGTTAGAAAATCGTTCAAAGAATCCCAGTATGGTGAGCAGACACGGAACATACGAACAGCACAAACAATCTTTCGAGCTCTTTTGCAAACCATAATGCTCTTTTATTTTCAGACAACTCGTTTATGAATTTCTAGGCGGACTAGCGGTGTGAAGTTTAGGTCAAGAGCAGCCGTAAGACGTTGTTTCTCCCGGAGGAATTGTAGCAATGCACACATTGAGATAACACAAATAATTACGAATAACTTTGCTTGGGTGTACATTACTCGTCTAAACATGTCTGTCTACACATCAAAATAACAGTACGTCATGCGAGCTTTTGGGAACTGCTCTGTGAAGATGGAAAGCTGATTTGGCGTCGAAGGAATTCTGCACATTTCTCACCCATGGGAGAAGTCTCATGTGTTCTCGCTTTGTCTTCAGACAAATAAGGATGCGATTAACAAGTACTTGATCTTGATTATTTTGGCCATTTCGCCTGCACTTTTACTGAACCGAATGGACATCAAGTATCCCCAGGCATACTGTATGTTTAAGGTTGTGCACGGAGTTCATACCGTGAAAGACGAGTGGCATAGTTGCCTCATATTGACTCTGTGGAAAGTCACTTATAAATAGGAAAAGGAGACCGTTTATACGTTAGGATGGCGTCCACTGGAAGGAATGTGTGACCGTGCACATTGTTGTACAGACTTGTCAGACCAGCGCCGTAGTCTGAAAAGTTCCACGTTTTGTTGCCTTACTTTGCCTATTTTCTCTATTGATTTTGCGATGCCTAATTTAATTTCTCTATTGATAGGTTGGTTTTTTAATGAATAGTTCTTTTTCACAGACATAAGCATTACCGTTTGATAAAATAACTAGTGTATCTTATTTCAAAAGAGGCTGCTCTTCGGATTCTTGTAACGCAAACTCTGTACTTCATAAAAAATTAAAAATGCATTCTCTGAATGTGTGAACTAAATATTTGTCTGAAAGTTTAGCGTTAAACCCTTGTATATGATAATTTGATTTCGACACTTGGTGGCAGCATATATTTTTAGGCTGGTGAGTAAGACATTAAGCACATCATTAATGATCCATAACGTTAACAACTTTGGAATTTCGATTTTTTTTCTTGGACAACGGCAAATTTAATGGTTGTTAGATTTAACTTACAACCGTAAGTGCCGTTTACCACTTACGCACTACCCGTCTCTAGCTCATACGAGTTTTTAACGCTTAACGTCCGAATTAAGAAATCGATGCTTACCCGTTACACACACTTTGCACTTCGCACTGTTCCATGTATCTCCCATCCCAAAGGATTTCGAAGGATGCCGATGAACCTAGTCCCTACCAGACTAACTACGCTGGCTAAAGGAGAATTTTCGTCAACGGATCAGGAGTTAGGCCTCCATAGGAAAAAAATGGGGAAATTCTGTCCTTACCGTGGCTCACTCCCCTGGCTTAATAATTGGCCATATCTTTACCGAATTCTGCTATCCATAAGACTACGGTGGACCTACCTCCTTGAATTCCTGGATCTGACTTTGGTCGAAGTGAGCGAAGACGTTGGAGGTGGCACGAGCAGCGCGCTGCTTCGGTCCTGCCTTCTTCTTGGCCTTCCTACTTGCCTGTGGAACAAATATTGTTATCGTTCTTCAAGTGTGAATGGTTTGATGGTTAAGAGCGTACTTCAAATGGTTGTATATACATTCCGACAAGGATACCTACGTATGCCAATTTGCAGGCGACAACAACACTGATATCAAGAAATGCAGCAGCACTACAGTGAAAGGTAGAATATACATGTAGAGACGTAAAAGTCTGCCTGTTTTGTACAAAGCAGATTTTGCTCAAATCTATTAACTTAATCGTTTGTAAAAGCTTCGTTTTTCAAAGTGATGCCACCAGAAAATATGTTTTTGTTTCATTGTGACTACGCTATCTTTCTCAAAAAGTGCGAAAACAAGTTTTAAGACGGAATTTTGGTATATGTGGGTTTCGAAACTAATAAAGCTGTTGTTTTTGCGCTTAGTTTCAATAACTTTGATGAAAAAGACGACAAACTCACCATTTTGCAGCGTCTTTCTCGTGCACAGCCTCACCAGTCCTCTTCAGCGGCAGGAAAACGCCAAGAATTTTCTCGTCCTAATCAAGCGGGGATGTTTGAGGAGAAATATCGAGCCGCCGCGCGATATAAATAGCCCCGGACGTCTTGGCAGGCGCGGCCGTATATGGAGAGGTGTCTCTGCCAACTTCGTGTTTCTGTTTTCCCCTGACACATAGCAAACTGGTCCTGCCTCCAGAGATGGCCTTTATGTGCAGATATGATTAATGCTGCGTAAGTGAAGGCATGATGAGGGACGAACCATTTTAGATTAGGGGGTAACTAGGACCCATCCGTAACATATCATCCTACAGGGAAAGATATGTGGTATCAGAAGCAGAGGGAGGCCACTCAGGAGATGGGGAGACGGCACCATGGACTTGACGGGTGGAGGAAGCTGGTACTGTTAGCAGCCATAGTCCCAACACTCAAGATGAGAATGGGACCAGGTGAAAGAAGATCCGTCTGAATTTAGGGGCATTCCGCTGGTACATATGCACACGTCAGACATGTTGTCATTCTGCTCAGGGTAGTCATCTCCTCCCATTGGTAAGACATTTAGAGGGAAGACCCCGGTGTTCTGAGGATACTTGCCAATAAATAAGTAGCTCACCCACTTTCATCACAGGCCATGTACAAAATTAGCTACTGGCAGGATTTGAAAGAGACAAAAATTTTACGTCGGTATTTTTGTTGTCGTGGAGCCTAGGCATAGGGCAAGCTGTGTAAGCCCGACACGCCATTTTCCAGACTTCATTCAGTACACAAACACCTGTCACACCCCTTCCCCATCCTCTTCATACATCTTGTGTTCCCCAGCTAAGAAACTACAGTATGTTAAACTTTCCTTGACCAGCGCTGCTATGTGACGGCAAGGGCGCTTTTGTCCTTGTAAAACCCACGTGGTTGTCAATATTGCTTGAAACACAAACCAACAGTACTGTTTTAATGCAGTTCCTCATTGAAATGCGCCCTGACGTAACCAAAAGCGAGACTTTACGGGAACTCTTTCCCACTGAGAACACTGTGTCTTTGATCTTGTCATGTATTGTTGTTATTGTACCAATAATTGTTGTGCAATATATCTTGATAGAAAAGAGTCACACCTTTTCAAGGCTAATCTGTTTGCTCATGATCATTGTCATTTGTATTCAATGTCATCATTCTTTATCTGTCCCAGTCCGCTCCGTAGGTTGGTAATCTGTATCATAGCTTTTTTGATGACAGAGAACATTAAAGAGTGATAGAGGTGATTTATTTATGATTGTTCAATCTGTCGAGAGATATCGGAGTTATCCATAACGACTAGTTGTAAACCAGGATTGATCAATACGTTAAGCTGGTAAGTGTACACATGCGTTTGTGTCCACCTTCTAGCACTCGGGAATGCATGAGCTTTAAGAACCTTGGCGACGGACATCAACATTCCAAATATTCCAGTAGAGTGGAGGCCATTCAGAACATTCCAGCAGGGTTGCGGGTGGTAAGGTTACCGTCAGCTAGACCTTGTAAGGGACGCGTTCTGGATAGCCGATTCCGTATGTCTAAGCGACCTTCAGTGTCCTTATTTAACCTTTTACAGTCGTTAATCAATCCCATGCTCTTTAAGACGAATGCCAACTGGTTTTCCCTTTTCTGCTGTATTGCAGGTCGGCGTGCCTTGATTCTCAGTCTAGGTACTATATAATCATTGTTCTTCATTGATCATTAAGTGTAAATAATGGATATAAGTAAATAAATAAATAAATGTATCTGCAGATTCACTGACTGATGAACGTTTTATAGATAATATTTGTTGTTATCATGAAGTGAGAATTGTGATGAATGAAGGGGTGTGCGTTGATGTGTTCTATGTGTCTCCCTTGTCAAGCTATCATACACGTATCACTGCCATGCCATACCTAGCGTGAAGTAAAGAGACAGTGTGAGTCCCTTAGTATCTTTATTCCAATAAACATGACGGCCGTCTGTCCAAGGTCACTCACACGCCAAGGTCACACAGATATTCCACATGTAGTACATGTACAGGAACACAGCTGCTACACTCCGTTTTTTTCACTTAGAAAGAAAGAAACTAAATAAATTCCAAGCAATTTTACTAGAACTCTACTGCAAGGATAAAGTTGTCTTGATATTCTTCATTTACATGTTAGGGACACTGTGCACTTGAGAACCCGTCTATAAGACGCTATAGCTGACGTTACATGTATTTCTAGACCATACAAGCCATTGCTTTGTTTTCACATAGTCGAATGGGGGGGGGGGCAAATAGTAACATGGGGACCATTCTTGGTGTCATTTTTACAGTTTCATGTAGAACTACGACAAAGCTTCTTATTACACATGAGGCTGCATAAGGGGTTTTAGGAATACTCGACGCCTGTCGTTGATCGGTCTTCGTCGTAGCACTTGGCACTTGGCACTTCAACGTCCTTTGGTTTTGGACCAAAGCAGTATCCACGAAACCCCTTGAAGTAGCCTCGCTTCTACAGGTTCTCCCTTTCTTTAGTCTTCTACCTCCTTGCCCTTGAGGACTGCAGTGAAGTCGCGGTAGTGGAACATCCCCTTGTGATCGACGTTCGCAATCTCCATCATGGCACTCAACTGGCGAGCGGGCACAGAAAAAAAATCATCGGTGGTGTTTACCAGTACTTTACAGACAAAAATCCTTTACAATAAACTTTATTGCACAACAATTGTATGGCATCTACAGCAATGTAACAACAAGCATAATATGGCACTATTCTATCTCACAACGTGCGACGCGGATAAATGACTATATAGCAGCACAGTTGCTGACAACAGAAACTTTAATAACTTTTATCCACTCACCCCCCCCCCCCATTTTCCTTTGGAACAGAGGAGACCAAATGGCTGCTTACCTCTTCAGCGTTCAGCTTGTCGCCGTACGGCGCCTTTGTCAGCAGTTCTACCAGGCTGTAACAGTTAACCAAAAACGATAAATGCAAAAGTCCAACAACATGAAACGAACATGCAGGCGCCATCTTTGATTCTCAGGCTATTCATATTTGCTGTACCACATTCTATATCATCATCATGCCCAACAGGTAAACATGTGATACGAAGAAATCTGACACAACTTCTGAGATGATTACTTACACTGCCTTCTTGATTTTCCCCGTCTTGTTTGGGTCGAAGAACTCGAATGCTTTGTTGATGTTGTCTTCTGGATCCGTACCTGGTGAAAAGGAGATATGGAAAAAAATTGTCACGTTTTGAAAAAAATCTGCCCAGATCATTCAGACAGAAACACTACTTTTAATTATATTTAAAGTGGGATTATAAGAGGTTGGAATCCCACTTTAAATATAATTAAAAGTAGTGTTTCTGTCTGAATGTGGTACAGCATTCTGTCTGAATGTGGTACAGCATAACGTTAAGTTATCCACGAAGTTGAAAGTCTATCACGCAGTTGTTATCCCCAGCCTCCTGTACGGCTGTGAGACTTGGACTCTGTATAAGAGACATATCAAGCAGCTGGAGCGCTTTCATATGCGCAG